GAGGCAGGCACCAGAAACACTGAGCTAAATCCCCAGCCCAGAGCTGAGGAACACTTTTAATAATTACTCAGAAAAACTACTATGAGGCTCTAGTGTGAAGAAGTCTTTACATATGAGTATGAAAAGGACAAGGAAGTTAGTCTGTGAATACGCCATTGAGAAGAATTTTGTGGGCTAGCTGGGCAAAATGTAGAAGAAAAAATAATTTGGCTATAAAAATATTTATGAGGTAGCCAGGCATGGTGGTGGATGACTGTAATCCCAGCATTTTGGGAAGCTAAGGCAGGAACATCACAAGTTCAAGAATAGCCTGGGCAACCTAGCAAGATCCTGTCTCAAAATAAAATTAAACAAAGGTCTGGGGATATAGCTTAGTGCAATGACCTGGATTCAATTCCCAGAACTGGAAAAAAAAATTTTTATGAGGTGTGGCTAAATGGAAGAGGGGAAAAGAAAACTTTTACTCTTATAAAATGGAATATGGGTAAGAACAAGCTTACAAATAAGTTAACAAATTTAGCATAGGGATAGAAGAGGAAAGCATACTATGGAAAAAGGAAATTCACATAACACAAAGGGGAAAGATTTTTTTAAAAAAGTGAATATATTTGGTTTAATAAACAGGTAATGGATCAGTTTAATATTTGAAAAGAACTCTGTTAAAAGAATCACAAACATGGTGCTATGGAAACACCTTTTAATGTATCAGTTTGAAAAAAGTCTGGGATATTAATCCCTAGTTATGATAAACTTCATAGCTAAAACATATCTTCTCTAGGCTGGGCATGGTGGCGCATGCCTGTAATCCCAGCACTTGGGAGGCTGAGGCAGGAGGATCGCTGTGAGTTCGAGACCAGCCTGGGCTATATAGTGAGTTCCAGATCACTCTCAACTATATAGTGAGACCCTGTTTCAAAAAACAAAACAAAACAAAAACATATCTTTTCATTTGATAACACACGGAAATCATGATCATTTTTATCTTTAAAAGAATTTTAAATAGTTTCAAGAGGTCACGACATACTTAGAACTCAGTGCTTTGAACTTATTGCAGACTTACTGCGTCTCTCAGTATGTCATATGACTTAATCTGTAGAAGGCAATGTATGTGAAATATTAACTCATCTTTATGGTATTTGTAGGAGGATCAGTCTGACAAAACTCAGGCTAAATATTAAAAGGTGAGAAACTTGGTTTATGATCATTATACACACCTCCTGGGTTTTATTTTTTAAATTGTAGAAGTAACATTGTGAGTTGTCTAAAAATTTGGCACATTACTTCAACTCTCCTCAGTCTCCTAAGCAAGTATCCAAACATGCTCAATTTTGAATGGGGATAAAACACATTTGCTTTTAGGGTTTGGTTTTACTTTTGTTGATGTAAAATTTGTAATATAGTAAAACACACTCATCTTAAATGTGTATTTCCTTGCAATATGATAATGCATGTCCATATAATCAACACCTACCTAGTCAAGTGTGTAAATCATCCCAGAAAGTTTCAGTGTACTCTCTCGCAGTTATTTCTCATTGCATACTGGCAAGTACTTTTCTAAGTTACACGTAGGTATATGTTTAACTTTCTAACCAACAAATGACATTTAGTATAAGCAGTCTTTATAATTTTAGTCACTTTAATAGGTATGAAGTGGTATCTATTGTGGGTATCTGTGAATACACATACCAAACTGTTACAATGCTCTATGCATTTACTTAAAAAAAAAAAAAAAAAAAAAAAAAAGAAAGCATATGTCCACCCAAAGGTTTGTACAAGAATGTTCATAGCAGTTTTAATAGCCCAAATCTGGAAATAGCCCAAGTGTCCATTAACAAAAGACTGGCTAAAACTATATTCATAGAAGGTGATACTATTCAGTGATAAAAAAGAATGAAGTACTAATATATACTCAAAAACATTATACTAAATCTCAAAAGACATGCTAAATGAAAGAACCTTACACAAAAGAGTATATATTGCATGCTTCCATTTATATGAAATTCTAGAAAAGGAAAAGTTGATTTATGGTAAAAAAAATCTGAAGACTAATGGACTCTGCAGGAAGGTGGAGGTGGTGATTTGGAAAGGCATGAGAGAATTTCTTAGGGTATTGGTAATATTTTATATTTTTATGAAAGTTTGGGTTACATAAGTTTGTCAGAATTCATCAAAAGGAACACTTGAGATTTGTGCATCCACTATATAAATTTTACCTAAAAAATGTGAAGAATTACTAAACTCTAATTATAAGCATGCCAAAATGTTTAGTGATGAAATATATTAAAGTCTGCAATTTAGAATATAAAAATAAGATATATTGTTTAGATGGGTAGATTGCTAGATGGACAGAAATATGATAAAACCAATTTATCAACAGTTAATTATAGAATCTACGTGGCCTGTGTTCATTTTCATGTTCAACTCTTCTGTATGTCTGAAATTTTTCATAATAATAGGTTAGTAAAAATAGGAGGAGAGAAGGGATTAGGGTGGGAAAACCGGTTATATCCCTGTCTCCTGAAATGGGAAGTCAGTAGGTAATATCTAGTCAGTAAGTCAAGATGAGATAGGAAACTACTATGCTTCATTATAAGCTGGGATCAAATTTAAAAGTCTTGCATATGTAATACTTTAGCAAAAAACATTCAAAAAAGGGTATTTTTAAGTTGCCATATTGCCCCGTACAAGGACCACATCAATCATACTTCCAATCAATGATATGTAAATCCCATCTCCCTATACCTTCACTCATTATGGGTATTTCCTTTAAAAAAAAAAATCTTATCCTGGGCCTGGGATTTAGCTCAGTGGTACCACTGCCTACCTCACAAATGCAAGGACCAGAGTTCAATTCAAATTTGTTTTGTGAAAAATGGTGTTTTTAATTTACATTTTAACTATAGACAATGCTGAACATCTTTTCATATGTTAATGTTATTATTTTCAGTAAGTGTTTTTTGTAGGTTTGTTTACACTGGCATCACCACAAACATGTAATACATTGTGCTAAGTCACCAGCTCTACAATAGTTTATGGGAACATCACTGTATATGCAGTCTGTTACTGACTGAAACATCATCATGTTACATATCTCACACACATGAATATACATATATACGTATATAGCAGCTCTTTTCTATCATATCTTAGTAATTTTTCCCCATTTATCATTTATCTTGACTTTACTTGCAATATTTTTGGCAATATAAATTATTGCAGTACAGGGAATTGAACCTAGAGGAGTTCTACCTCTGAGCTATAACTGCAGCTTTTTTTTTTTTTTTTTTTGAGACAGGGTAGGTATCCCAGGCTGGCCTTAAACTTATAATCCTCTCATCTAAGCCTCCTGAATAGCTAGAATTACAGGTATGTACCTCTACACCCAACTCTGAAAATTATTTTTTATACAGTAAAAGCTATTAATTTTTCTTTTGTGGCTTATGGGTTTGTATTTTGCTTAAAAGTTCTTTGTTTTTTGTGGTATTTTTGGTAACTGGGATCAAACTTGAGTCCTTGCGCTTGTGAGGTAGGCGGCAGAACCACTGAGCTAAATCCCCGGCTTAAAAGTTCTTTATTATTCCAAGGTTACCAAACAATTCTCCCATATCTTTCTTAGTATTACATTTGTGGTTTGAATGAATTTGCCTACTGCTAGGTATAGGAAAACAGATACACAAGCAATTACTGATAATATAAATTGCTATAAATATTTATAAATTAGTATAAGTGCTTATAGTGTAAAATTTAAAAAATATCATATGACCTAATAATTCTACTTTTAGCAAACAATCTATCCTACAGAAGTTAGAGTAATATTATAAAACAAACCATGATGTTCACTGAAGCTTTCCTGCCAAAAGAAGAAACAACTAAAAGGCCATCAGTGTAGGCATGATTAACTCAATTATGGTGCAGACAACTGACTATTACAGCCAAGATCTATTGTGTATTGATTTGAAAAGCTAGTAATATACCAAGAACAAGTGAAGAGAGCAAACTGTAAAATAAAAAATGATTAATTTTATAAAACCTTGTATTTATGTGTGTTCCTGTAAGCACAAAAAATATTTGGAAGAGTGTACACCAAATTATGAATATCAGTTAACTCTGTGGAGTAGGAATAATGGTGTTACAAAATTATATTTTCTTCTGAAATTAAGTATAAAATGCAATTTTGTTTTAAAAAGTAAACAAATAAAAATATAGATGCACAAAGCCTATCCCATAAAAAGTATGATTCAAAAAAACAACTGTAGAATGGAATTCTTCTTAAAGAATTAAATTTATTCTACCCTGCTGTTGGTGTTTGCTGAGGACTTTTCTTTTAAATAGTCAAGTCATCAATAACCAGTGAAGCCATTATTTGAATAATAAAGAGTACCTTTTCCCACTGCAAAGAGTTTGTTTGGAGTCTCCAGTTCTAAATCTTGTTTGAATTTCCAGGAATCTTTGTAGAACTTTAACTTTCCCAGCAGGGATTCTTAGCTGGCCCTCCTCCAGTGAAATTTTCCTAATTATATGCAATATTTTATATAGTACATTTTAATTAATTAATTAATTTAGGTACTGGGGATCAAACTCAGGACCTTGTGCTTGCGAGACAGGTGGCAGCAACACTGAGCCCTACATAGCACATTTTAATCAGGAAGAATTCACTGCTTTAATCAGATCTCTCAGTCCTTACAGAGAGAGAGAGAGAGAGAGAGAGAGAGAGAGAGAGAGAGAGAGAGAAGGTAACTATCATGTCAGACTTGAAAATAATGCATTCTAAGCCCTTGCTAAACTTTAGCTCTAGCATAACAAATGGATAGAAAAGGGCAAAGGAAGAGCTGACAATTATTACAAGAGGATTTTTGTATGCTATGGGTCTCAGCTCCCTTCCTCCAGAGACCTAAACCAATGGGAAGAAGCTTTCATGGAGCCACTGCAAGCCCCAGAAGGTTGTTGTTTAACTCAAACCCAAGAAACCATTATCGTCTGTATGGGGATTTTCTGCTTACATGTTTGGATGGCACAGTGACTGCCTTGAGTATGGCTTTTGCTTCTAGAGTATCTTCTACAGAATGCACGTCTTTCATTGCTCATTAGCTATAGTGAGTGTGGGGCTGCCTTAAATTCTGTCCCGAGAGGGCAACCTGGAGGTGAGGTGAACATAACAGAAAAAAGCTGAAAATGTACCACAAGATGTCTAGGAACCAGGAAGTTATAAGTGACACCGGATAAGAGAGATGCATGTGCCTATATCAAGAGCAGTGAAGATGGGGTAATCCTAAAACCGTTGCTAGCAGGCTCTCAGTGGTCCCAATCTGGTGCTTTTGGCTTGTGTAAAATTGCCTCTCCCCGAGTTTAAGATGGACCTAATTACTTGCCCTTAATGAATGGAACATGGCAAAAGTGATTACATGTGACTTCTAAATTCAAGTTTAAAAGACTGTGACTTCTGTCTTGTCTTGTGACTCCCACCCTCTTACCTACCTGCACTGATGGTGGCAGCTGCCATGTTGTGAACTGTGCACAGGGCAAGAGAACTAGGATGGAGGTGGGGCTGGGTAACAGTACAGCAAACAGAGAGGGGAAGCTACTGAGCTGATAACTACAACAAACTGAATCCTGCCAATAATTACTTATGTGAACTTGAAGGTGGGTGACCTCCTAAGATGACTACCTGTGAGTAACCAGAGCCAAATGATCCAGGTAAACCATGCCTGGATCCAGAACTACAGAAAATCTGAGAAGTCCTAAGTTTTGAAGTTATTTGTTTTAAAAAAGATAGTTAATATGGGCTATTATAAAGATACTAACTTCACTGGGGCTGGGATGTACAAGGCCCTGGGATTTAATCCTCAGCATCAAAAGCCAAACAAGAAGAAAAAACCCTTTTTTGTCACCTCTACACCACTTCAAACCAAGAGGGCTACAGTACAGTAAATAGTTAGCAAGAATATGGGAAGAGGAATCAACATGTTAGGTAAGTTCTGAAAAATTAGTGGATTCCTTTTTCCTACTGCAGCAGGACAGCATTCAGTACAAACATCTTTGAGGGGAGAAACTTTGGCTTTAAAAATGTTTGGGGTTTCCAATTATTACACAGAATTGAACAGATTAATAACTGAACTCAGTCTTTTTTTGTGACTTGAACTGATCTGAGGACTCTGACAAATAGCATGGAACAGACAGGACCTCATCCAAAGAGGTGGGAAGAAAGCTAGTGTCACAGACAAGGTTTGAAAAGAGAGTAGAGGCCAAGAAAAACTTCAAAAGTACTGAAATGAGGAAAGAGAGAAGTCAGAGCAGCTAAATTATAAGAAGAAAGAGCAAAGGCAGGACCAGGTGAAGATGAGCACCAAGTCATGTACGACAATAAAAGACAAGAGAAAATCAAGTAGGCTGGACCTAACATTTTATAAGTAGTAAAAGTTAGCAAACTCACAGGTCTCCATGATGCTATGAGACATTTGCATTATTAATGGCAGTATGGCAGTTATTATGATATTTCCATATGAATTAAAAATCAAATACTTTTTGTTTTTGGTACTGGGGATCAAAGTTGGGTCTTTGTGCTTGAGAGGCAGATGGCAGAACCACTGAGCTAAATCCCCAGCCCTACAATAAATATTTTCTAAAATTTAACAGTATATAAACCTTCCTATGTACACTGAGCAAATACATGTAGCACTAATAGCTACCAGACAAGTGTGCTCATGATTCAAATATTTGGTTAGGGTTATCACTCAACTGAGCACTGCTAGCTGCTTGTGTATTTGAGCACTGGACTGTTCTAATTTCTATTGTTAGTCTCATACTTAGTTTACAGTCAAAATAGACTATTGGTTAAAGCAAAAAGAACATGGAAATAGAAGCTAATGAAGAGCATAAAATGGTAATAAGCCTGTACCTTTATTTAAAAATCTTTATTCTATCTCTGAACTGAATTTCTCTGATCAATAAAAAAATTCTCCACCTCAAAGGAGATAAAAAGGTAACAAGTTTATCTCAATTTAGAATTTAGAAATTTTTTTGGTACCAGGAATTGAACTCAGGACTTTGCACTGCCAGGCAGGTGTGGTGCCACTGAGATACATCCCTGGCCCTCAATTAAGAATTTTAAAAAATTAATTATACATTAGGATTATCATTTTGGTGACTATCTTTTCACATCATATATAAGTGGACCTATCATCATGGAGATCCTTTTTCTTTTTAAATAAAGACATGTTTGTTTATTAACAAAGTAAGTGAATCCTTACCTCTGCGTCCCCTGTGGCTTGCTCACACTCAGGTAACACTCTTTATAACACAGTATGCTCTACACCACTTACATACACATAATCACAAACACATGTTTTATACACAGGCAGGGTTTTTTTTTCCTCAAGGGGTGTATCTTTCTGACACACAAATATATACAAGAAATCACATATTATAAAATTCTCTGTACCATGAAAAGTCCTTGAAATCAACTGGCACAGATCTAATTAATTTGTTTTTAATGGCTGCATAATCATCCAGTAGTTGGATAACGTGCAATTTAATCTTCTCTGAGGGATTGGTATTTACCTTCTTTTCAGTGTTTTTGGTCTTTAAAAAAGGCAGTAAACATATTCATATTTTTATGCACCAGTGCTTCAATATCCATGAAAGAGACTTCTAGAAGTGAGATTGTTGGATCAAAGATTACAGGCATTTTTCATTTTAACAGATATTACTACAGTTTTCAAAAAAAAGGGCTGTAATAATTCACATTTCTACCAAGGTATGAAAATGACCTCTCTTCCAGTCTTTGACAGCATTAGATATTATTGCTCTTTCAAATTTGCATTCCCCAGAGTAATGGTGAAGTTAAGAAATCTTTTCATAGGTTTATTGGCCATTAGGATTTGCCTTTCAATGAACTGCCTATTCATATCATTTTTGCATTTCTCTACAAAGTTTTTTTTTGCTATTCATTTGCAATGAATTAAACTGGTATATGTATTATTTCCATCACACATACAATTTCCCTATTACACTGTGTGTCCACTGCAACATTTCCTTCTTCTGCATCTCAGGAGATGTAATCTGTCCTGACAGGTCCTGCCCTGTTTGAGCAGCCTCATGAGTCCCCTTCCACTCTTCCTCATCTACACTACTTACTCCCTTGGTGAACTCATCGAATTCCATGGGTTTTTCTTTTTCTTTCTTTCTTTTTTTTTTTTTTGTACTGGGGATTGAACTCAGGCCCTTGCGCTTGTGAGGCAGGCAGTGGAACCATTGTTTGTTTTAATTTTACCATACTGGGAATTGTACCCAGGGCCTTCACACTGAGCTCACAGCCTCATCCTCTTTTTCATGTTCTTTCTTTTTTGTTTTGAGACAAGGTTGCTCAACTGCCCATGCTGGGCTTGAACTTGTTATTCTCCTGCCTCAGCCTCCCAGAGTGCTGGGATTTCAGGCACATGTTATCATGAAGTGCTATAATTTCATGGTTTTAAATGCCATCAGTATGTTTATGAGTCTCATATTTTTATTCACAAATCCCAATCCTTTCTTCTGAGCTTCAGATTCACATGTCTCAAAGGCATCTCAAATTTATGATTTGTAAAAACGAAATCTTGATCTTGTGGCCTAACCCACTCATCCTTTAGGATTCAATGTTTCAGTAAATAGCATTACTATCAACTAAACTGTTCTTATCAGAAACATGAATATCACTATTGATTTAATCTTTCCCCCACAGACACACCTCATCCATCACTAAATTTTTTCAATTATAGCCCCAAAATATATCTCTCAATGCAGCTCTTCTTCCCACATCCACAGCTATCCTTCCCTGTCCCCACCTTCTCTAATATCACCTAATACCTAAACTTCCTCAAAGGCCTCCTAACTTAGCCCTTTGCATCTATCTCCTCCAAAAAACTAACCCCAACAACCAACTCTTCAGTCTGTCAGATCATGTCATTCCCCTGCTTGAAATTCGCCACACTTTAAAAATTATCACACTCTAGAAATCCTAAACTCATTATGAAACCCATAAGGCGCTACATCAGTGACGGTGAACCTTTTCGAGCTTGCAATGATACAAACAGCCTACTGCTGCACGTTTGCCACAGATTCACTACCCTCCCGGAGTTCCTTTCCTGTTTCTCTCTTGCTGAGGGGATTCTGCATTAGCCTCACTGGCCTTCTTGCTCTTCCCTGAATGTGCCAAACTCATTCTCATATCTCCCTCCAGTACTTGTATGACCTCCACCCATGGAATACTAACCTGCTGAAATGTCACATTTCAGAAAGGCTTCCTTGATCATGTGTACACATACATTCACCTTTTCCCTTCCTATATCTGTGCCCACTGGTCTCACGGCTACAATAAATTAAACATTACTTTGTTTGCTTCCTTATATACACTATACGTTTCCCTCTAAATTAAAATGTAAACTGCACGAAGAACAAACTTTTCCATCATTTTTACTGTTCAATCCCTAGCACCCCCAGAAGTGTCCATCAAATAATAGGAATTCAGTATTTTTTAAAAAAGAACAAAGGTTGTTATATTATTTTTTAATACTGAACAGTGCAAAGTTAGCCATATTAACTATATTAAAAGCAACCAATATATATATCTGTAGTTCTTCATTTCTCATGCTTATACAGCATAATATCCTGTTATATCAGTATACCATAATTTTCTATCCTCCATCAAAGGACTTAGGTTATTTCTAATTTTTGCCATTATGAATTGTGCTGGTGCAAACATTTCTGTACTCATATTCTGGTACACGTACACACACGTACACACACACACACACACATACACGTTTCTCTAGGTGTACAACTGGATTTAGTTCAACTTCACAACATGAATTTAAATTGTTCTCCAATATCTATTCCTTTTGTGGTGTTTAAAGAGTTATTCTTGACCCACATCCTGCTCATCATATAATAGTGGAAAACCTCTCAATTTTCTGGCAATCTCACAGTGACTTTAATTTGCATTTCTGATATTAATAAAGTTGAGAATGTTTTATATATTTATAGGCATTATATGTTTCTTCTATTGGGCTGTCTTTTTCTAAATGATTCATTGAGTAAAGCAGTT